ACGTTAAATATGAAAATTACGTTTCTACGCGTGTGCACAAAATGCGTTCCCGTGCCCGTTTATTTGTTTTTCTTTCTTCACATTAATGCTTCCCGTGCAGCTTTTCGCACGGTGAGGTTAAACCAATGTAATCTGTTAGCTTAAAGTCGAACCACTTTCGCACGAGGAGTCGCGCTCGGAGATTACGGTTGTCCATTCCGTTTTCCCTTTAATGTCCGACGGCGTAATGTAGTTTTGCATAATTACGATTTAACGTTGCCCGTTACTTTCTTTCGTTTTTCGCGGCAATATGAGTGCAGTCCTCCGCCATACTTAAATCAACGCTAATGCGACTCTCGCGTTCCCAGCCCCGTTAATCACCGACTACGATTCGCGAATTCGCACGATGTCATGACGAACGATCTCCGGTTTTAACGGTAGCGCAAAAATAAGATGGTGAGCTCGACGTGTTAACTCGACGATTCTCTTCGCATTAAATTTTACGTTTTTTTATCGCGAAATTCGTAACTCCGTCTCTCCGAGCGACGAGAAGAGTCGGTAGAAACTGCTGAAAAATACAGGAGCTCTTCCGCTGCACAATATGACGTTTCTATTACGTCGTCTGTAAAAACATTACTCGGCTACTTTCGAGTTTCCGTGTCGCGCGCGGATCGCTCTTCATATTTTGTACTGTGGAAAATACATCGCGCGCAGTGTATAACACCGTTGGGAAGAAAAGGCTTACGTAGAATGTTTATGATATTCAACGTATCTAAGCGACAATCGCGGCGTCAACGCTTTTTTCTCGAAATGGACAGTCGAAATGGAGATAGAGCCGGAAGGATACAGCACGTCGACGATGTAGCTAGATTTTCTGCGTCGGAGTCGTGTGGAAAAATTTCGTCCTGACATATTGCATCGTGGTGGTCGAGTGGTGGTTTTAAACAGTTAGGTGGAAATAATGAAGAAAAAGAGAATGACAGTGCAAGTGATTGTTCTCCCTCAATATTTTCCGCCACATGTTTCAAGCGCACCAGGAAAAAATGATTACATATGAATTTTATATGATTATGTATGATATTTTTTCCCAGGACTACTTTAATAATTGCTTTGAACTTTTTTGGCTTTACTTTTTCTTCTTCTTATTTGTACTGAAAGCTTTTGTATGCCGCGATATTAAAAAGTTATAAATTATTGGTATCAATATGTATGTTATATTATTTTCTAACATTTACTTTTCAATAAACTCGAATTAAATTCTAATAGCGAGGATAGTAAGATTAAGAAATACGGAAGAAACATAATTTGTTCCACCCGACTGTGTGAAATCGCCTACTGCGGTCGTATGACTTATAAAAGGAATCGATGTTGCGACCGAGGTAGCGCGCCGCATCGAATCAATCATGAATTTATTAGAAACGGAATTGCGTTGCGGAACGGAGAGCTCAACTTACGTGTACGACTTTCCCCGTAGGAAAAGCCAATAAAGTTGCCAACTTTCTCGACGGATGCTCGTAAAAATCTTAAGGGGAGATGTGAAGCAAATCGAATTTCACTTTCAGTAAGAAGTAACCCGAACCTTGAATGGATTTTTTCGACGTTCTCGAGCGATGCAACGTGTATTATCAACTCGTGATAACTGGCGACTGTAATTTCAATAATGACGACTTTTCACATCTACCCGTAACATTTCGATCGTACGAACACCATACAAGCATTTTTTAATAATTATCGAATACGTGACATACTATACAGCAAATTATTTATCCCAGAAACACGACGCGTTTTTAATTTAAAAAATATTGTGAAAATTAACAATTTGTAATTGGAAATGATTCAAATTTCTGTTAAAATTGGTAATATTTCAAAGAAACATCTATATCATTTCTCAAGTAAGCGGCTTATGTACATGTGTACACGTTATAAAATATACGTTATTTTTTAATTTTTGTACCAATAACGAATTGTTTATCTCGAATGCGGGGAATAATATTGAAATTCATACGCTTCAAAAAATGTTACACGCATATTTTTGATGAGCAAATACTTTTGAATATGCTCCACCATAAATCATATAAAATCGTTTGGACGTCGCTATGATTTACTTCTCGTCATGGTTAAATGACATTTTGATGAAAAAAATTAAAATCGCGCAATTGGTCAATTAATTCGTGGATATCACGTTCAAGCTTCGTTTTCTATACAAAAAAAAATATCAAATCTCTCGTTTTCTATACAAAAAAAAATATCAAGTCTCAAATCTCTCATATACGCAAGAATATTATAATATTCTTAGAAAATGTTTAGTCTGGAATTAAGTTCAAGTGATACATGCATCGATATAAATTTGATTAAATCAAGACTAAAAATCTTATGATTTTATTATATTCATGCTTATATGTGAGAATATCTATCTTTGATTTAAGATTAATTTTTTTTTTCCACGTAAGTTGTCCGAATGTCAGTATATTTACGTCATGCGCGCTTCACTTTCGTGTTTGAAATTACATATTGATACAATTTATATACACGGCTTTCCCGGGTACTCTGCTAAAAATATAGCTTCAGGGGGAGAACGGTATTCATGATGGTGGATATTGTAAAGCCAGTCGCTGACAAACTAAGCTTTCAGAAGCCGAAGAGGATGAGGCCGCAGCGGCTCGTTTTTCGATAATTCGGGAACTCGAGTCTCGGAGAGACTCCATAAAATGAAGAATCGCGTCGCCATCTCGGCGTGGCTGTAGAATAACAATTCTCACGGCATACCGACGCGCCAAGTAACGTCCTAATCTCGCGCGCCTTTCTCACAGCGTTGCCCGTGCGTATCTCCTTCAATGTAATTTTCTCGGAGCTAATAGCGGAGGAGAGACACATATCGAGCGCAAACCAATTCCTTTAACGATAGTGCACGAGCGCACTACGTAGTGCGCGCGCGCATTATAATGCAACATTAATGCGATACAGCGCGGCGCACGACGTTGAATGTAACGACGTTAAGGACTAATTACCGGCACGGCGTTCTTGGATTTAGCTTTTAATCAGCGAGTGTGCGTATTGAGTTCAGGGGATACTCGACCGAGAGCCACGTTAATTAATCACGCGTGTGTATGCGTATTTAATTCGAGCCCGTGCGCGAAAACAGAGCACGCTAATGTGCAAACGCGCTTCGCGTGTTGATGACGATGAACCCGAAGAAGATTTATAAAACTTCGTTGCGGAAAACCCGACGCGCCTCTCTCATGTGAAATTTATCCGCAAAGTAGAGACAGTTATTTTTCTGAACAGTTTTATAACGGCAACGCACGAGTTTGATTTAATGGAATCTTCCAATCGATTCTCGCGCCTTTTCAAGTTGTCCGAGATCGTATAACGGCATGCAATCAACTAATGCAAGATGCAAGCTCGGTCCCTGGGAGAATTGAGGTACGACGTTGTAATCACGTTAATGCGCGAAAGTTCACACCATAAAGGTCCGATAATGCAAATCGCGTGCTATGTGAAAAAATTCTAAAGAGAATCACGCCTGTCGAAAGCACCTTCGCAAAATCCCCCGTCGCGGCGACACTCGCATTCCCGGATAATATTAAATTCACCGATAATTCACTTGTCACACTGCGAATCGGTGATCCTCTCGCAAAGCACGGAAACTCGCTTATATTCGAATCGTTAATTTTTAGAGTGATGTAAATGATATTTTGAAACATCGCGACTTTCGATAGCAAAGACGCTCGATAACGTTTTAATATTGAGAATAACAAATTTAAAAACTTACGATTTTACATTTTTTTTGTTTAAGATGAAATAGGTGCTATGAAAAAGTATAATTCAAACAACATTTTCGGAATAAATGAAAGGTGCGTGTAAATGGGAACAAAAATCGGAGAATACAAATGCGATTGACGCGTATGCGACATTTCTGAACACTCTTTTTCGAATGAATTCACCAATTTGTAAAATCCCAAACGTGATTTTTTTTCCGGTTATTGGCTTGTAGCGGCCCAATAATCGTGAGCTTCACTCGAATTTTAAACGGTGATTTTACATGGTCCGCACGTTCTCTGTTGCTCACGTGTGAATATAAATATTGCTCTTACAACCCATTATTTATACGAATTTATAAAACGTAGGTCAATATGTATCCTTGTTATACGCCTTTCGGGCTGAACGATTTTGATTGAAGTGATATATGTCCCATTTTATACACAAGTGAATTTACCTGATCCAGAAATAGTTGTAGCGTTATCTTCGAAAAATCTCTTTTAACAATTAATTCTCTTTTCAAAAAACTCACATTTGGAAAATAAAATATCTTTATATTCGTCATAAATGGACGTTTGACGAATTTATCGCGAATAAGGAAATATTCCGAATCGAAATTTAGATTTGTATAATGTATTTTATACAATAGAAATATTTGATCCATCCAACTGAATAATAATTTATAAATGCGAATTTACCATTAATTATACTCTTAATCAAATATCATAAATAATTTAAACTATAAATATCGGCTTTAGAATCCAATATAAATCTTTTTTAAAGATTCAACATTGGGCAAACAGTAATAAGTAACCATTTATAACATCTAAGTAAGACAATAATTTGTATAACATTATATCTTGAAATTTTTCATTAATCCATCAAGTTCGTTATTTGTCAAATTAATGCAGAACCGAAATTTAACAGATACTCTTAATATCGCAAATACTTCTATTAGTGTTTGTCTTTTCTGCCTCGATTAAAATCTCAAATAAAAATATTTATATCTTAACTCTTATATCATTGTTCCCTACACATGCTGTAGAAAAATTCGACGGAATTACTTATTCAACGTGATCTTCTGATCGCTTTGGGACCGCAGCAATTTCGTATAGTTGGTTGGACCTCGGCTCATATCTCTATATAAATATTGCTCTTGCCATCCATTATGTACCCGAATTTACAGTACACGTGCAGCATCGCAATATACTCTATATGCTGCACGCGGGTAGCTTTTAAATAAAATTTTCCGTACCACCTACCTGAGTTAGGTTGGCCGTTGCTGTTGGGTCGCGCGGAAGGTGCTCCGTCTCTGGCTTCCACCTCCAGGGCGTAAGCTCCTTGCTTCTCGCGATCGAACATTACTTTTGTGAAGATCTCGCCGGTTTCCCTGTTGATCTCGAAGTAATCCTTGCCCTCGTTCCTGTCGCTGTCTACCACGTAATACGTGACCTAGATAAACAAGACAAGGTTTATTGACTCCAACCGTCTGTATTTCGCATCCGCGAGTAACAAATAACGAAGAATATCGTAATCTCGCTGGACATCGCTATTTATACAGAGACGAAATATACTTATTTGCTAGTTACTCGAAGTAATTTGAATACAATGCGCGATCATATGTTTAAAACATTTTTAATCTGATAATTCTGGCATTACGAAGTGCAATTATTATTCGTAACTACTTCCTTTCTAAAGTAAAAATAGATACACAGAGAGAGAGAGAGAAAGAGAGAGAGAGAGAACGCATCTTAAATATATGCATAAATATACAAGCAGCTCAACTCCTAAATATTTACTTTACTCTTATACAATATATCGAATTATTATAAAACTACATTAATATAATATATATGTGAAACAGTATATTAATAATAGCGTTAAAATATTTGAACACGGATATTCACCACTGATTTCGCCACTTATTTCGAGCGCCTATGCGTAAAAGAGCGCCAAATACATGAAAACGCCGGTCGTAACGAGTAACAGCGCCGGTCGCGACGGTGGCGCTGGCAGACGGCGCTCCGGAGAATTACCGTAACTCAACCGTTTTGAATAATTCCGCACTGGAAGACGCAACGGCGACTAACTACGAGCAACACGACTTCACCTTTGGTACCTTCCAATTCCATCGTAATGAAACAGTATATAATAGTACGATAACGTAATTGTAAACCCGTGAGGCAAGGATACAGCACAGTGTGACGAACTGTCTTTCTTTCGTGCTGCTCTACTTGCCTTTGTGACCTTTGATTGAGGTACGTAAGGCATAATGAAAAAATTCGATTAAGTCGGAAGCAACACATGTTCTTGTTACGTTGTTTATGCAACGATAATTAAAGTACATCGCGTAGGATTTTCTCATATACTTGTGTGTTATATGCTGTCACATATATTTTCTATATAAACATACATATTTCACGTGGTCCTATACATATTTTTTACAATTAATGCATATATATTTATTGCGCCATTTGCTTTCGTGATTCATGCAAAATTTTGACGCAAAAAACCTTAAATTCTGTGGATTTTGCTCCAAGGTCAAATTGAGGTTATGTAAACATGGCCAGAAGTACTCGCGTTACTCGACATTACCATAATCTACTGTCATATTTTATTGGCTGCACTATTAATTGATATTTTTTACGACTTTCAGTTATTCGTTTGTAGAAAAATCCTATTTTCGGACCAATTCGCTTCACGATCACCAATCCAGCGGGCACATAGAGACAGGACGGGCTAAAAAGAAGACAATATCGAGTTTGCAGCAACGCGATTACAACGCGAATGCTCGACTACATGTCGGATCGGTCGTCCACATCGCTCGTGTCCCTTTTGTATCTCGACGTTGCGTGTATTTCCCTTCCGCAACACATTCTACAGTTGCGCATCGCTCTCGCACTTGCAAATGGGATGTGCATATTTGACAAATCTTTCGTGCACGCGAAGGACTCCGCGTGTTCTCTCTCTCTCTCTCTCTCTCTCTGTAATCGACAAGATTTACAGTCGCACGTACAGTTCGCGTTACCTAATCGGCAAATTTCCAGTGGAAATTTCGCGATATTTCACGGCCGCTCCGCTTTCACGTTTGCCATGCTGAGTTGAGTTTTTTTTTTTCCAAGTAGCTGTGTGTGCCATTTTTACGAAGCTCCTCGCTTAAGAACGGTCTTATTTTTGTTTAACGAAGAGGAGATGAATTTACCTTGTAGCAGCAAAGTGCATACTAACTTTTTCTACTCCGCAGCTTTCCATTTTTCCGCTTCTCTCAAGGCGAGATAAAGACTTGCGCGCGTTTAATTGTTTCATAAAATATACATTCTTTAACCCTTTGACTGCACTTTCGAAAAATCGCTTACACCGCAAACAGGACCATATTGACCATATTGACCCTGTGCGATTTTCCAAATTCCATATTTGAAAAACTGTGAAAAGGGTTGACAAAATTCTAGAATAAAATATAACTTTTCTATTTTAATGTTTGATCATGCATTCAAAGCAAAATCAAGTTTTGAATTATTGAAAAAAATTAGTGAACGAAAGAGATTTGTAAAGTTATCATTCTTGAAATATGTAATTTTATGTAGCCAATCGACTATTAATTCTTGATTTTATGAAAAGAGCATTTAATCATTCCTCAGTGAAAAATTACACGTCTAAGAAAGAAATGTCGAATGATTAATAGGGGCGACTGATAGCGTTTCGCAAGAACCAGCGGTATAATCTACGGACGGAAAGAAGCGGAGGAGTAACACAAGCGCAGGAGAATGAAAACGCAAATGCTGGCGAACGCATCCGCTCTAAAAAAAAGTCGAAAAGTCCGTTTCATCAAAACTTGGAAATTGCAAGGTAAGCCGCATCGGCCATTACACTTTCAAATCGAGAGAACAAATTGATCTAATTTCAGCTGAAGCTCGAATCACCATCCGCGATAGTACCGGTTCGTTTTTCCCGGAAACGACGAGCTAATATCTTAATATTCAGCGCGTCCGTGCCCGTTATAATCGCAGTCGCATCGGAGTTACAAAACGCGTACCGTAGCGTAGCAACCCGGTTTCAGCGCGAAACGAATGATAATCATGCGATTAAACACCCGATACGAGTACACACCCGCGCAAGCTAGCGCGTATCCGTTAATGCGATCATACGTGATAAATTCAACGCCACTCAAACGCGATCATTGGAATTGCGTTACACCGTTACGGAATTTACAGTATTCCCAACGGCCGGAATACAGTTCCGCCTGCTACGTGAAATCATTAAAGTTTCGACGCGCGCGCGACGGTCTAACTTATAGCTGTACAGTGTACACTCGAATCGCCCCGTATCTCGCCTTTATTCCCCAATTCCCGACTGCCCCCTGCCTTCAACCTCAATCAGGACTTTGACGACTGAGCTCCCTTAAGTCCCGCTCAAGTGTTCCGCTATAGCGCAATACGAGTGTATTCTTTGGTTCTTTTGTGCGGCTCCGATGCAATTCTCCTGCAATTGATCCACTCGAAATCGGATCTCTGCGGTAAAGGATCGGGGAAACCGTTATATACCTCGGAAACGACGCGTATACTCGTTGATCTTTCGTTACAAGCGAACTCATTTTCTTTGGACTTTTTATTAATTGTCGTTTTATTTCATGTGCGGGAGTATGCGATGTAACTGCGTAAAAAGCTTTGCATTCATCTGATAGTAGCTGTATTACGCATAAGAACACGATAACTGTGCTATCTGAACGTATATCAAATAATTATGATAAATATTTCATTATATGATAATGCTACTAATATTAATGATATTGATTATAATGAGGATGCAGTATTTATTAAATGTAATGCACGTTGAGCAATAAGGTAACTCATTGAACCACTGATTCTTGTATGTGAATTGTGTATGCTTGTATGACTGAAAAAAGTATTCGAAAATTTATTTGTGGAATATAAAGTTTATTTCTCATCGAAACGCGACGCTATTATTTTGCCGAGAGTGAGTAATAGGAACCTCATGAAATTTAAATGGTTTTCATTACACTCAAGATTTATTAAGTGTATGCAAAAATAAAATGCACTTTCGATTATTTTTATCAAGTCTCATTAATTCCGAGCGATCTTTCGACCACTGGGACTAATTAGGAGAATTATTTTTTTTCTTTCAGGTTCAGGAACTTGCGATCGCACAACAGAGGCAGTATAGCAGGGTTGCGGTTCTAATGGACGTAAATACGGCACCGGAGGATCCGGTTCGGGCCGAGCAGGGTCGGCCTGAATGTACGTTCATAGACTCGTTATATTTCTTTTCTATTCTATTCTATTTCATTCTATTTGAGAGTCAGCCTTTTGCATTTGAAAAGCAAGATAGAGCTTTTAGAATGATTGAAAGCACGATCGCAAAGAGCTAACTGGTATCTGCACATTTGTTTGTTAAGTCGAATCTTGCGGTCTAATCGGAAAATATTTTTTCTGTTCTAGATTTGGATGTGGCCCTGATATGCAGATTCGATAAGTAAAAATTAGATGGAAAATAGGTAATGGTTTTGTTTTCGAAATGTTTCAAATTTCGCTAATTTTTGAAAACAGTGCGATTTACGTAGTCCGTAAATTTCTATATGTCAAATTTTGCATGTATATGAATAGAAATCATTAAGCACAAAATATGGTAGTATAAATCGTGTTCTTTTTTTGAAAACAAATGATCTCTAAATTAAACACGCAATTACTACATTATAAAATCTGCTATTATTACATTCTATATAGAAACAGTATTCATTGTGACTACTTTATTTAAATAATTACTTTTGCATAATCTCTTATATCAGAACCAAAATTTTTCTGGAGAAACGTTTTGTGTCTTTCGCTGTTTTGCTATTACTCATAAAGCGCATTACTCTTGAAAATATACAATTCATTAATACTGATTTATGCCACCACCATGCTCGATGGTTCTATTTCCTATCATAAATTTTGGGATATCGTCGAATGAAAATTTGACGCTTAAAGTGCATCGCGAAGTATATCGTGTGTCAAAATCGCGTCCTCGCTTGCGAAAGTTGCGTTAGTATATTTTGCAAACGTCTTTATTTTGTTACATTTTTATACGCATATTCACGTGACTATTATATTTTGCAAACTAAAAATACGTATTTCGTTAAGTTCAATGTGATAATTTCACGTGTATAATAACTCAGTTTTTACTCATGAACGTGTTTACTTCGCGATTGCAGTTTTTACTTTTCAATTTTACATATAGAACGTCACGCGCAATGTAGTATGCTAGCAGGCAGGTGGTGATTCTTCATAAAAAAATAAATAAAAAAATAAACCGTGTTTATGTTTGACAAAGATAGAAATTTCGCGGTACCAGCGATTATTTGACCCGTTTACGGGTTAATAGATTTTGCGATCGCCACAATTTTTTTTTATTTTCGGTTTTTGTACGAATATTCGCGTCGCCAGTACGTTCGCCAAAGTGATGTATAAATATTTACAATATCCACAGTGGTCGATTACATACACGGTAGTCGATTACATTTTGCTCGAGTATATCGGTGATAAATTTGGCGAATGCGGTGTGATTTTTTATACCTTTCGATTTTTCGTACTTGTATTCGCATTGCGATTCTTTAGAGAATTACCGACACCGTTATTTAGATTAAATACGTAAAAACATTTCATTGATGAATTTCATGGAACATTTGCAAGTGATCTTTGCAAAAATATCATGGCATTCATCATCGCAGCTACTACTGAACAATCTTTGCGTATATATCGCAAAGTAATCTTTGTTAAAAAAAAAAGAAACGAAACCTTCGTACGCGGGATCATCGACGTGACACAATACAGAAATTAAATCATACGGAGTTCTGGATGTAGAGGAACGCAGATGAATGCTGCTCGGGATGCGGCAGGGCAGTTTTGGCGGATTTAGTTTGGACGTCAGTAAGATCTTTCAGTGCGAAATGGTGAGCATATAATTTCAACACTCGCTAAGTGTATCATTAGTTATTGCGTAGCTGTAAATCGCACTGGTAAAAGAAATGACAAGAAAAATCAAATATTCTGGTGATATAATATCGGAATACATAATAAAAATTTCCATTTGATTATTCAACTCCGCACATGCGGATTATTTTTATACTCTGCTTTTGATATTATCATTTCTTTTATTTCCATACTATTTAATGTAATTATATTTTATAATGAAGCACAAAATAATGATTATTTAATATTATGATTATTTAATATTATGATTATTTAATATTATCTGATTTAATAATATGTGACAAAGACAGAGCACGAGAGAGAAACATATCGCACATTTATCTGTTTCATTTTAATACGTTTAATATCTTAATACATGTTTGCAAGTTTATTTTCAAATTGTTTGGAATTGATAAAAAAACATGAATGCTATATAATTATAAAATCAAACATTTTATATATTATATAGGTTTACTGCTTTCTTTATTGACACAAAATCTAATTCATTTAAATTGGTAGATTTTACATAAGAAGGAAATGACAAAAACGCTACGAACGAAAAAAGTCGACAACGGACACGCGACGAATAATTGTTTTAAAGTACTTAATGACAATTATATTTTGCTTTTCGTAGTGCTTTTACGTAGCGTACGTAGCGACAAAAGCGCGTAACCCACGTGTAAATCAAAATCAAGTCAGAGAATTATCTTCGAATTTAGGTTTCAAATAAGAAATGAAATGTGTGAAATGTAGCGTCTGGGGAGCACTATCTATGTAGAACATACCTTCACATTACTACCCCATAATTAACCGGTCGATATCGGCAATTATTTTACTGCTATCGTCATGTATCCCCCGAGTCACGTAAATTCATTTTATTACAATGACACGCGACATCGATTTACCTGATTATTGGGGAATGTTCCGTCCTTGTCGATGGCATTCACCTGGGTGACTTTGCTACCCACTGGTTCACCCTCGAGTACGGTCTCCTGTTCTCGTTCAGTGAACAGTGGTATCTCGTCGTTAACATCCTCCAGCATAATATACACGGTTGCTTCGGAGGCCAGCTGTTGAGCTCCATTATTCTAAAGAAATAAAATTGATCGCATGGTTACGAAAGCTTGAACATTACGTGATGTCGATTTCTTGATGTCGCGTGTCTTCGTCCTCGTTATACAGAACGCAGGTAATGCTGCATTTAACGTTACGTGTTTTCATACTTTTTAAATCTCACACATGTTGATTTTATATTTAGCGCTAAAGGCGCGTACAAACAAAAGTTCGAATTTTATGGCCGACGTGAAAAAAATATCGTCATGATAATTTCATAAAGTTTTACTATTATTAAGATGTAAACATTTTATTATTAAAAACAAAGATTACACGGCGACACCAGAACGAGATATCAGTATTTTCTTTCATAAAAAGATAATTTAATTGCGCCAAAATCATCCGCGTAAACGTACCTCCACTCGTATAGTGAGATTATATTCCTTTATGCTTTCGTAGTCCAATGGATGGTTAACCTTAATGTCGGCCCAAGTCACCGACTGTTCGGCACGTTGCTGAAGGTAAAACGTATGAAACTTGTTGGTCTGCGCCGTAGAACCGGGCATTAAGTGGTAAAAGACCGTCGGATTATTTTCGATTCCAGAGCTGTCGACACACACAAAGACACGTATTACAAAGGCGCGTACCGGCTGCCCCGGAGCGCCGAGAACGATTTAACGAAACGGAAACGGAAAACGGAAAAACAGAAACGAGAACGGAAATCTTCTAAGGTGGAAGAGAGGAGGAAAGAGAGAGAAAGAAAGAAAGAGAGAGAGAGAGAGAGAGAAAGAGAAAGTCGCGTATACATATTCGATACTTTGAAGATGGAACAAACGATATTCTTACGTGGCTGCAGAATAGAAGGACAGTTGTTACATACTCGGCTATGTAACGGCTCGACCTGCTCTTCTCGAGTCACAAAACGATATTGTTCCAGCCTCAAGATACGGATATACAGGATACCCGCGACTAGGCGCGCTTCCTTTTTCGATAAATACCGTGGCCCGCACACGTATTTATCGTTAGATTATTTATCGTTAGATGAGAAGATGAGATTTTTTATATAATTTAATTATTTATAATAGAAAAATATTGCTTAACAGTCTCGTGAACAAAAAAAACGATTCGAATTAGCCAATAACAGCGTAATTTTATCTCGGTAGAAATATATATGCATCTCATATCTCATGTCGTTCGTTCGGTCCTTAAATTTTAAATTCTGATTTAACTTCAATTCCCTGTAATTGATTATCAAGAAATTCTACTTCGAGAGGAAACGTCGTAAAAGTCGAATATTTGATGCATTTATAAATCCACAGACAAAGAAGGAATGGCGGCCGTTCTGAGGCATCCCGTATATATGCATACCGAAAACGGACTATCGTTACTGTCAATATAACGAGAAGAAAAATGTCTTGAAATAAAAGATCGTCATGCGATGCGTCGCGTACGCGTTCACACACACGCGCGCGCGCGTATGCGTACGCGATCAGAGAAGTGACAGACAATTAAACGATTTAAACGGGTCCGATCGTCGTCACGGAAAAAAGAGAGATTCCTTCACTGGGGCGTGTTAACGTATGTAAAACGAGGAGGTAATAAATGATTCAACAACACAATCTCACTGATCCCTATACACTGGATGCGGCATAGAGAGCGGCAGTCGCCGTCACGACCGCGTCTTTTCGACGCGATCATCCCTGACCGCCATTGCAGAAATTGAAACCGGCACAATTTCGGCGATTGCGGATTCCCGGCTGGTGTTTGTTACGTGAAAGTGAGTCAACCCGCGAAACTAAATGATACACATAGCTGGGTAGGCAATATAAAAGTCCGCATGTCAAACTTAGCTCACTCAAAACTATCTGAGTTAACTCGCTTCCTCGTAACATACCGGGATTTCATGATATCGATTTTCACTTCTTATTGCGATACATAAAATACGTCGGATCAGCATGAGAGTACGTTTCAATCCGCGTCGGAGATTGCAAGCCGCCGAAATTATGCTGATTACGCGTATAGCGATCAGTGATGGTGGTGGTTTTATACCTAATGCGCCGCACGTCTTTGCTTCCCGTCGTCGCCCGTTCCTTTATTTTCCCCTTCCGTTTCTTTACTCGGTGCGCTCACACACACACTCACACACACATGTATATATATATATATTTGCGCGTGTACAGAGTCGTACATATCCGCACGCGTTAACAGAACGAGCTCTTTTCGAAGAGCGACCGCAACCCTAGGCAAAATTCACGCAGTCAAAAGGCACATATTTGCTGCTCTAGCTACATTCCCTTTCGCTCGCGTGGATCAAATATCCCCGGTGGTTACCGCTGTTAATTCGCGGTTGCAGAAGTGTTACGCCTTGGCTGTGTGTTTGTGCGGTGTGTATTAGGCGCGCTGGGCTTTGTTCGAGCGCGGAGTCGAGCTCGCGAGTGAATGATTAGTCGATCAGACTGTTATTCGCCGGTGTGTTGTTGTTCGCTAACGAACGTTAGGAATTTTATTAAGCCTGGAAGAGAGTGCGCCGAGCGGACTGATATAGTTCGACAGCCGTATTCACGGACAACGGGGCTAATTTACACGCGAACAGACGGCGACTGCGAAATGCTTTAGTCGCAATTAACGTTGGTCCGCGCGGAGTTTATCAAGGGGCGGGCTATATGTACCTGAATAGCTGGAAAAGCATCAATGTTTAAATTTTTTTACTGACCGTATTACTGACTTTATGAAAATGTCCTTTTGAGCATGTTGCATAACTTTTTATAGTTTTGTAATAAACTTCATATAATTAATAAGTAAATAGAGATATGAGAAATCATATTCCTTAAAGGAACATCTCTCAAAGTCAATAATGTAGCCAACAGAAAAACTCTAACATAAAGTGTTTTTCGAGCCGCTCAAGTATATATAGTCCTGTAACACCGTATCACCGTACATGGTGATAATAAACGGATGTGTTCTCGAAGCGCAATTCTCCTCGTTACATCCTCGAGACTATATTAATCTGTTTTAGCTTGCAAAAAGCGTAAGTATGTTAAATTGTTGAAAGTTCAAGTAGATGGCCGATTTGCAAGTTAAAGTTATGTGCCCGATAAGATTAACATTTTAGTACGGCTATTTCGGAACATTACACCGCCGTGGCATGAGACACTTACATTACACTGCTAATGCTTACGGGAAACGGGCTGTTGGTGGAGAGCTTAAAATCGGTAATGTAGTTAGTTCACTCGTAAAATTCTCGTAAAGTTCTTCCATAGCGATTTAAATGCCACGGCAGATCTGCTGCGAACAAGTTTGAAATGCTAAAACCTATATCAGCGTGTCGGGAAAAAAGGAAGATAGAAGTCTGCGCGGAAGTATTATCTGACGAAATGAAAGAATTTAGCGATATCATTTGACGCAGCGTTATTGTTACGTAGTTTGCGAAATATTTTCATTAGATGCATCATAATTGGTTTGTGATAAATACACGTTGAATGTGAAATATAAAACGCGCGTGTTGTAAATGCTAGCGTCATAGACATGTTGGACAAAATTGGAAGGCAACGTCAATTATAACGGAATTGAGTTAAAATTGGCGTATGTTCCCCGCGGTACTTCGCGAACGGTGAATTTTAATTAAAAGAAAATTGGATAGCGCATACACGTATAATTATTGAAAGGTACACGAAGCAAAATAAATTTCTTGCAATTTTCCGTCAAAGCGTTATTGCTTCTTTCAATGCTGTCGTTCAATGCCCCTCTCGATGCAGCTTTTTTAAACAGTTTGTTAAATTCTTTTGATGGATTACATTATAGAAAACGAGCTGCTAATTAATAAATGTGACCTACAAACAACGCGCAAATGTTTTAGTAATTGCGTGCACTTTGAAATTTGATGATTTTATTGAAAATATTTCCATCGGTACCTATCCAATATCGGGCATTAATTTATACTTATAATTGAATAACCGGCTAAAAGATGCAAAGTAAACTTCTGCCATCAAAATCTTGCTGAGGCGATTATCGCGTTTCGGCGTAGCAAAAGTTATGCGGAATTCATTAACTACAATTAGCCTTCATTTACTAATTTGCGATTCCACGGAGCGTCTTCGAAATTAATTATTTCAACAGCGCATTATAGCTTGGGCTTTAATTCGATTTAAATAAATTAGTAGATAATAACTTGAGCGATTATCTTCCCGAAATGCATAAATCCGCAGTAGGAATATGAGTATTCGGATTACATAAAATTGATTGGGATCCATTTCGGATTCAATCCAAATTGCAAATTTCTAATCTTTGCAATATCAGAAGTACCCTTGAATTTTTTAACATTTTTAATTCTTAAATAATACCCTTGTAATTCGTTTGTCAATATCAATTACATTTCTTCACATGTGTATGTCAACGATTAAGTTGGAGGTACAGAATCATTTGTTTATAGTCCCACTTTTATCTCGTAAATATCGATGAACCAGTTTGTAGCGGAAATTTTTGAATTAATCTACGGTAGTGTTATGTAAATGACCAAATTTACAGTGGTTTCAATTCCTTTCAGTTCGTTGTAATTTAATTAATTAATTTTTACGGGGGGATCCGTAGTTCTTCAAGGGCTTCCTCCTAATTAATTCCCGTAAACATATATATATAACAGTCTGATTCAATATAATCGTCCGTAGATACGGGCTCGGCTCATCGATCGAACGAACCGCACGGCTCTATTACATGCGTGTTCGATCGTCTGCTGTCCGATCGTGTTTCATGTCTATGCACGTGCGCTCGCGCGCGTATAGACGTGTGATAGTTGCGCGTGTCATGTGTACGTGTGTGAGGTATGTGGTATGCGTGTGGTACGTGCTTTCCCTTGTCGCGTCACGTATGAACGATATATATCGTGTGTATACACGGCTGTAGTACGTACACAACCGTCCTGTCATCCGTTAGATGTTCGCGAAACGTCCATCGATCTGGAAGGATCCCGCTGTCTCCCGAGAGGGATTCCTCCCCGGTTCAAAGGGTACGCAGCCGAAATTGACAGCGCCGTTTGTCATTTCGAACACGGGCACGACGTTGACGTCCTACACAGGACATCGACTGAACCGTCGACCGTAATTTTCGTGGTCGATTCTTTGAGCGTTTTTATTTTTTTTTCTGACCGGAATACAAGATTATCGCAGTTCTTGAGAATGACAAGTTCTTGACAAAGACGAATTTCAGAGATATGAGAAATGAGTGAACCGGCTGAAAGATGCTGTCAAATTATATAAAAATGTTAATAATAATATCGTAGGCTATTTAGGTTGAAACGGATTTCTCTTCTTCAGATTTTTAATTTAAGATTTAATTAGTTAAGTATTCAATATAAAAAATATTAATAGGTATCAAGAATATTACAAGGTTATCACATATGTATATATGATGACTTTCTCTGCGAAATTTTCCCAATAGAACGTGAACTCTAAATTCGTAAAACTGTTATTAAAATTAAAATCGGTTCTAAAATATTCTCTACATAAAAATATTCCAGCAAAGGTCGTAATAAGGTAGAGAAATGAATTGTTGGATGAATTCCACGAAATGACTTTTTCACTGCGAAAATTACATTAGAGATTATTTTATAT